GAGTGTGCGCGCGCGCGCGCACGCGCGCGCACACACACACATACACACACACACACACACACACACACACGGCATGAATCAATCGTACTCAATTCCTGCCACGTCGACGCCGTTGATTCTGAGTAACGCCGAGATCAGGACACACACATGCATAAGTACACGCACTTACATGAGATTAAAAAGAATTTGATTTTTAAGAATTTTTAAGATTTAAAGTTTTCTTTTTATTTTTTTTATATAAGTTCTAGTTTTCTACAATAATTTGTTTATGAGTTATGTTGAGTAGACAAGAAAAAATAGCCCGTTTTTTTAACACAATTTTAAAACACTATAACTTTGTCAAAAAAATCGTAAAAAGTGATCAAAAAATGGATTTGTTAGGAAATCAATAAGTTTGAAAACTCATAAATTTTTATGCCAGACAGCCGACTTCCCTAACCAGCGCAATAGTTTAAAGAAAAAATTTTTGTCCTATTTTTCTAAGCATGTCTTCAACGTCCGCCATTTTATAAAACATTTCTGAAACTCAATTTTGGTTTTCTTTGTTATCAAGGGGAATATTTAAGCTTTAATTTGAGCTTAGGTTCATCTCGATACGACGATTTTTCATAAAGTTATCGCTATCGAAAGATATTAAAAATTGGAACTAAAATTTAGGTGCCCGGTTTTTTTGCGAATGAGTATACTTTATCATGCCATATTTTTATATGTATAAAATATGAAATATCTCGTAAACTATTAAATTTTTGATAATGGTATAATACTTTTAGGTACAGAATAATTAATCAGATGAATCGATCGGTGTAAAGAAAACACACAGTTGCTTTAAAAAAATTTATAATTTGAAATATGCAACTACATTTTTTTAAAATAACTTTTAGATGTAAAATAATTAGAGAAATAATATTATGTAAAAAAAATCATAATTCCATTTAAAAAGTGGAAATTACCTTCATATCTTTTTGATGCCTCTAGACAAAAAACGACGTGACCAAATTACATCCCTCTCGAAACCGTTCAACTTTCATTTAAAACATTTTTTTATGTCATCAAAAATAAGTAAGTAATCGAGGTGTTCGATTTAAGTAGACCACCCTGTACAATTAATCCGCCTCAGGCGTACTCTTTAACGCCGAGACATGACCGTATCTCTTGACATCAGATTTTGAGCCTTATTCCTTTACCAGAAGATAGAATTCCATGACATTTTCTATTTATATTTAATACAAAAATTTTCATCAAGAAAAAAGTAACCCTAGAAGGTCTTGGACGAAATTGTGTTATCGAATGAAGAAGTTCCGGAAAACTAATATTTAAAAAACAATTTGAGTTTCATTTAAAAAATATAAAAATAATATAAAAATATAAAAAATATAAAAATAAACTATTATTTTCAGTAATGGATCGTATATACGGGGAAGGTCACTCCACGTATTAGTTTTTTAAAAAATGTTTATTATTACTGTGACTTGTCTAATACACAGAAAATATATACACGAACTCGGTCGCGTTAATAATATGATATGAGAGGACTCGGCCTCTGTGAGAGGACTCGGCCTCTTTAATATCGATATGCGTGAGAATTCGGCCTCGTGTCTACGAGAGGACTCGGTCTCTTATCGTCTCGCAGAGGACTCGGCTTCACGATTCTATAAGAGGACTCGGTCTCGTGTCGTCTCGCGGAGGACTCAGCTTCACGGTAACTTTCGAGAACTCGATTAACGTTTTCTTATGCGTATAACGCTTCGCTACGAAAATCGTATCTGTCTAGGCCCATCGGAGCTGTCCCTTATATAGTAGTCCAGTAAAATAAGGAATAACTTCGGAATTCTTTGTAACAGGGTCAACTTTTGCCAATCTCTTCTAAATTGTATCAATAATATATGGTAAAAAGTCGACTTCCTAAAAAGTGCCGCTGTAATAGCTGTCTCTTATACACATCTCTGAGCGGGCT